TAAGGCGTTTTTCGCGCGAAAAAATCGACATCGTATAGTAAGGCGTTTTTTTGCCGAAAAAAACGACATGGTATAGTTAGGCGTCTTTAGCCCAAAAAATGCGAGAGTATAGTAAGCCATTTTTAGCGCGAAAAAAACGCCATAGTGTAGTAAGTTGTTTTTAGCGCGAAAAACACGACATAGTATCGTAAGGCGTTTTTAGGCCGAAAAAAACGACATCGTATAGTAAAATGTAATGCGCCAAACAGAAAAATCAAGAGAGGAAATCACGAAATAAATTCTATGGGGCACGGGGGGGTTGTGAACACACAACAAAGGAACAAACTACACAAACAACTCCGAGACAGTCCAGTCTCCAACAAAAGAAAAGATGACGTTTGGAGACTACGCCCCCCCCCCCCACGTTCTCGTTGAGATGGTATTAACCAAGAGGTGCTTTGCTCCTGTTACCAGCCTTGTCTTGTGTCGTTATTAAACAAACACATGACGGAAGTCCGACAGAGCACGAAAGCAACGCATTCTCGCCGTACGTAATCAACTTTTCTCATGCGTAGCGAGGCTACTCCCCCCTCGCAAACGAGCATTTGCTCCGGAGGAAATTGTAGCGTTCACACGTGCAAATTTACATCGGTGCTGCACCGCAAACGAGCATTTGCTCTGGAGCAAATTTTTAAACCACCTCCCTGAGGTGGATCAAATTTGGTCCGGTGTAAGCTGTTTAGCGGCGCTACGCCAGAGCAAATTTGCACGTGTGAACGCTCAACTGGCGCAGCGCCGGTGCTGTGTCGGACCAAATGTTGCCGTGTGAACACCCCTCTAGAGAGGGAGAGGGAGAGAGAGAGAGAGAGAGAGAGAGAGAGAAAGAAAATGACAGGCTCTCGAGGGAGGGTTCCGACTCTCATCGTTCACTTCAAAGAGCCGGCTCTTTGTACCGGCTCGTTCGCGACCGACACATCACTACAAGCCACTGCTCTGCTAAACTAACAACGCGATTGCTCAGCGGCGGCTTCCTAATTATGCTTCGCCAGTACGACAAACATACTTTCAGTGCACCTCGGTTTTTTCTTTTTTTTTTAATTGACTTGATCGAGGAAGTTGTTTATTTCCTCACCGACGTGTTGCGTTTCACTGGCTTCAGGAGCTTTAAGAGCCCTCGAACTATGTCCTGTAATTAAAGCTGATCCTTCACTAATGAAACTGCACGCTGCAAACAACAGCTTGAGCTGCCACATTAAGCCACATTAAATGCTAAGATGGTCTCATTGACTCGGAGGCCGATTGCGACGAACTTCACGCCACTAAAATGGAATAACAACACCTTCGATTCAGTATTCACTTTTCTTTTTTTTTTGGGGGGGGGGGCAGACAATTTTGTGCGGCCATATTGTTCATTTCCAATGGCCGCTGTCCCTCAAAGGGTTAAAGATGCGTTTCATCTCTCGAGCCAAATCTGTTGTTTCACCTGGAATTGTAGGGGGAGGAAAAAAAAAAAGTATGAGCGCACGACATCGTTTCCGTTTGCTTTTTATTGACCGCAAAGTATCATGGAATGAATGCGCTGTCATGACAACAGTCCTTGGCTGCAAAAGGAAGCCAAAGCCAATCAAAACTGCCATTGTGACAAACTCAAACGAGAGGCTAAATTGCGAGTCCGAGAAAACAACCGTCATGAAAGCGCACTCACATAAGCTTAATGATCCGTTTTGGACGGCCTCTGCCAAAGTGCACTTGACGCGGTGAGAATGCTGACAATTCGTTTGGCCCGTAAGCACTCACCGGCTCGCTTTCCCTGAATCATTTCACACATTCAGGAATCACGTGGCCCTTGCCTATAGACTTTGAAGTGCCCACTCAAGTGTTGCCCTCGATGCTAACAATTCGGAAATGCTCGTTCCAGATTGCGACACGCTTCATCGAGCTTCCGGTGAACTTTTATTGCAGGAAACGGAGACTCGTTTAGGTTGGCAGTTCGGCTGACGTCAAGCGGCACCGATCGAAACACGTCAGAGATGCGTCCGTCCGTCCGTACGCAGCAATGATTTGGATACTGTGGTGAAGAGTTTGACCAACAATTGGTCTTTCATGGAGCCAGGCCAACACTAGTGCTTATACACCGGATCAGTCAAATCCTATCCGGTGTGTGTGATTCAAACAGCTGTTAGTGGCGATTACAAATCTCCAGGTGACAGTCATACACACACACACGCACACGCACACACGAGTCACGAGGATCGATACATCTCACAGTATAATGAGCTGTTTTTTTTTTTTTTTAAATGAACATAACGCGGTTTTCTTTTTGCATACAGAAGATGTGAATGATCGGCCTGTTTCCGGTAGACGTGGATAATCTTACGGGACCTAATACAAGGACTCAAAACGTTCATCGCCGTTTTGCTGTTTGAGAGGTAATCATTGCATTTACACGTTTCTTATTTTGGTTGACATAAAAATAAGTTCAATAAGTATCATAATCACTCATCGTAAGACATGACTGCTCATTTTAACTGATCAACACGAAGGCACATTTGACCCATGTTGGTTCACGTGCGGGTGTACCTAATGTCTGGTCACCGTATTCTGTAATCGCGCTTGAACAGTTGTGTTTGCGACCGCTACTGAAGCACATCTGATGTATCCCACCAACCGTCCGTACACTGCTGATGTATTGCGATTAAGGGTTTAGGTTATCAAAAGCACAGATTTGTCCAAGCCGGTCCGAATCTCAGGATGGACCCAAAAGCACGACTGAGCAAAAGCGTAGAAGTCAACCAACTTGATTATTTTACAGAAAATGTTCAGAGGAGAATCTTTCGCTGGCCTCACTTGAAATTGTGCCCGACGCGCCGGGAGAAAACCGCGACGATGAGGGGCAACTGAGCTGGGCGTGGAACTTTGGACGTCTTGACTTGTGAGGCAAACCATTCGGCCGCCGTGCCGCCAGCAGGTCGGACTGAAATTCTCCTGCGGGTGATGTTGTCTGTCTGCATTAGCGGCCAAATTCTTTGGAGTCGGAAAGATCTCGGTGTGTATTACGAACACCTCAGCGTGTGTTGAATAAGCGAGGTTTATTCTACAAGCCGCCTTTTGAATCAGCGAAATTGATTAAAATGCAAATGTCGTTTTTATGTCTGACTGACTTTTGACTGAGGATGAAGGTGATGGAAAAGGTAACTCATTAAAAAAAAAAAAAAAATAAGCTTCCCTGGGAATGAAGTTTCACAGGGCTCGAGTCCTTATTGGGCCTTTTGCAGTCTTGCTTCATGAAAGACTTTCATTTCACCCATGAAAGATCAGCTGTTTGATGGCTTGCTTATTTTCAACATAGACGGCTGGCAAAATTAGCGCGGGCGGCTAACCTTTCCCATCAAAGGGGAGCGTCGGAAGCGCCTTTTGACAGCAATCTAGGAAGTAATGAGCTGACGCATCAGAGCAGACCGAACTCTGCTTGCGCTCAAGGCACACACGCTTGAATGTCGAAACCAAGAAGTCGCAACAGGCTGGACATCCATGACGGTGCACAGCCGAAACTAAGACGATGACACCATCATTTATTTCCTGCCTGTGAAAATATCGTGTGACTGCACTTCGTAAGTACATTCAAATGGTTGTGAACGGAAAGCAATATATTCAAACATACGTCGATAGGAGCCAGATGAGGTGGCTCGGGCATCTGGTTAGCATGCCTCCTCGACGCCTCCCTGGTGAGGTGTTCCGGGCACGCCCCACCCATCTTTTTTTTCGTAAAGATGACTACTGCAGGGGATCCCTCCCGTATTGTGAGTGCAACGTGTAAACCAGCGCTATTGTTTTGGATGTTGATCTGGGCAAATGTCAACTGTCTTTCGGGGGCCCCTTCAGCTTGGGGCTCTTGGCAACTGCCTCACTTGCCCGCCCGCCCTTGTGTGCCTTCTCTGGATGTTCCACTGCGCTTACTTTCACAGAGCCTCCAAAAGGCGCGATTTCATCCCGTCGTCGTCTGACTCACATATAAGCAATGTTTTTAACCACCCAACCTTTAAATTGGTGACATTCCTGGGCTGGCCCTTACGAACGCCGATTGCTCCGATGGGAAACTTGGAAATGTCACCACAGCGATGGGGCTTTGAGGGGAAACTGACCTTTGGGTGCCAGGACAACTTCGAGGTTTGCGCACGTTTTGCCAGCGTTCCAAGTCCCACTTTCATCGCAGTATTCGCACAAGTAATCAACCTCTACTGCAAATTACGTGGAGTCATAGTCGCAGTCATTTCTGTGCAAACCTAGTGGGTAATAATGGCCGAGAAATTAAGCAATCCATCCTTCAAAAGCAAAGCGCGCTGCTTCACAAGCGCGAGAACTCTTCCCATTCGCGCGTGCCTGCATGTCGAGCTTGTGCGGGGCGGTGTGCCCATGGCTACAATTGCAGTCGTGGGACACATTATGAAGCCGCGCATATGCCGAACCACACAGGGCGCTCTGGCGCGTTAGTCCTTGTGACAAAGATTGTGCTGAGATGATGCTGAGGAGGCAATCGGGTCTGTGGGGGGAAGACAGAAAAATACCAAAAGCCACCATGGAGCATGTGGGGGGGCCGGGAAGGGCGGGGGGGGGGGGGCAGATGGAAGACAAATATCTTCTCTTAGTGGGTGTATTCCCTTGAGCGGCAAGAGTTTAACGTATACTTGAGTTCTACTTTTTAACTCTGCGAATACTGCTCCCTTAATTCCCCGTCAAATCAGAGACGAGTGGTGTCACATATGACATGATGACATCAGCGATACGATTCGAGGACACAATGGAGGTTGGGACCTCATTGACTCCGTACAAACTCCACACAGGAAGGTCGGAGCCGGAATCGAACCGGGCACCTCTGCACCGTGATGCCGACGTGCTAACCCGTCGCCCACCGTGCCGCCCTGGTGATTTTCTAAAATCGATCACACGTGTCCACGTGTGCGCACGTAACGCACACGCGCTGGCTCACACAAACACTTAACGGGGCGATTTGAGTTTTTTTTCCGACTCTGAGCCAGCTCCACACTGACACCATGATGAATGACTCTCGCTGTGCTTGTTGATGCGTGCATGCGTGCGCGTGCGTGCTCGCGTGCCTGCAAGGCTCAAATCACAGGGGTTGTCAACCCCCCAGAAAAAAAAAACATACAAAAAAAAACTTCTCTCCCATGAAGCTGCCTGAGGATAATTAAACGTAGTTTGAAGAACAGCCGAGCTATCATTTATTTACTTGTTTGTCTCCAACGCTACAAGACGAGTTAAAATAAAAGGGTGCGAAATAAAAGGTTTGATCCGGACTGTGCGGGGTGTCTCATTTTCAGGGCCGTGCTCCGCATTAATGGAATATGAGAATGACAAGTTGTAATTGACTTTACATGACCCGGTTTATATGTGACATCGTTTCTAAGCGTTGACGACCGAGTTATTCAGCTTTGCAAATGTTTTGATGTGATCATTTCCGGTATATGGCGCACTGTTGATTTACATCGCAGTTCGCCATTGTGTGAGGAAAAATCGGGGTTGGCATGCTGCAATAACGACATTTCAGGCTGAGGGTGTTGACGTAATTCCCCGGTGATGCCGCTGCAGTGGGAATCAATAAGGGAGAGTTCTTTAGGGCTGTATCGGTGTTGGAGAGTGACCATGTTGTGTTTAATGCACAGCTCCCAAGGTAAACCATTACCGTGTCTGCTGTTCCTCACCGCTCGCACCCCGGGGACACCTGTGACCAATTAAAGGAAATCGGAAACGCGTAGCTCGCAGGGAGGAGCGGGTACGGGAGTTCCACGGCACGTCTATTCTGCATGCGGGAAAGAAGGGAGTATTTTTGTCGTATGAGTACACTCGGGATCTTTTTGCCGCTTTGGCGCCAGCTGTTCGGGGAAAGGCAGACAATTGTAGCAGGAGGGCGAGGTGGAAAAGACATGAAATGGGATGTCAACCTATCGGCTCCTTACACCCTTATTTATAAATAGCCCTCTGTGTGCGTTTTTTCACAGCTCGTGTTCCTGTCATTCACCCTGTGACAGTGAGTAATGAGCTCCACTTACCTCTGCATATCAGTCGCCGGTCAGAGCCTCGGTGCGCTTACAAAAGTAAAAATCTGGCCAAATAGGGGTGGTGAAACCCAGGGGCAGAGCAAGAGACTTGTCAGCGGGGTGGCCCGGGTGAGACCAAAGGTCATTTGGCGGATGGCGCAGAACAAGCATCTATAAAATAAGGGGATACATTGGAAAAACTATACGCCAAAACTTGACATTTAATCCAATGTTAATGGTTTGCCCAGGTCAATTGCTGGGTGCGATTAACAATAATGGCTCTCCAAATACTGTGGAAAGACGGTCGGCCGCACGCACGAAAACACACAGGCGCATGCACACACGTGCACAGACACAAAGACCCACGCTCCTACACACACATTAACATTCAAGTAAAACGATAAAGCTGCTCTTGGTCATGTGACATCTCATTTGGTCCTCTCAAATGCATTATATTGATTTTCTAATTCGATGTTGGTTGTTTAGCTTCAGGTTCACGAGAGAGAGAGAGAGCAGAGTATGATTGTGTAAGCATGTTGTGGCCGAACGAAATAGTAAAGCGAGCAGAGGACCCAAAAGTGAGCCAGAGATGGTTGGTGGAGGTTATAAGGGAGTGTTGAAGGAGAAGGAGAGTCTGCTGACAGGAGCTTGGGACACAAGCTTGGCCTGGCAACAAGAAGGTAAGCTTCTGGCGACATGACAATGAGGTCGAGGAATGGCCTCATGGATGACACAAGAGGTGAGGCACGGAAAAAAACTCCCAAGTGGCAAACGTATGCACAATAATGGCCGAAATACCACTCAATCATCCGGCACCCGCGTTTTATTGTGACCGGGAGAAATGCCTGCATTACTCCTGCCCGCCTCTAGGGGCACTACATCAAGTTTTGGATTGTTCGGCGAGTAATTGACAAAAAAAAAAAACCTCATGAAATCGGTCTTGAAATATGAAGGGGGCAGCAAGAAGATAAATTGGGAGTTATTTTACCAAAATAATAATGTGACATCAGCGTGAATTTTTTAGTGGTGAACTGAAGAACGTCTTTAAAGGAGTCCTGCCCGTAACACAATTGGAGGATACATTTCACACTGTCTGTTGACTTAACGCACTGAGAGTCCGGAACAAAAATCTTTCGGCGTTCTTCGTTTCGCAGCGGTTCACTGGAGGTTGCGATGAGAGATACAGAACCCTAAGGTACATTCTAATTGAGGTGACGAGGTCATGAAGAAAGATGATTCCCACCGCCGCAAAAGAAATGAGTTCCATGAGGTTCAATCGCCATTAGATGTCGACCATCTGATTTCGTCGGTCCAAAAAGTCTTTCATCTCAGCCACCAGAATATGAATGCCGATTCGCCGGATGTTATGCAAGCGACAACAAAGATCACAAGGGTTTTAAAACACACTTTAAAACGAAACCTCATCATTTATAAACGCCCACTAGCGCTAAAACATCCGACACTTCCGATCCCTCCAAGTCTCACTTGCATACAAATGTGTTCCATCAAGAGAAGTCGTGTCACTTGTCAAGTTCTTCAAAGCTAGCATAACACGCGAGTGCGCCGGCGCACACCTCAATGTACTTCACCAGCTGTATTTGTTGCCGCATTTCAGCGGCCATACGAGGCAGCCTATAATTTCCAGGAAAATGCGTGTGCGTGTGTGTGAATGCGAGAGAGGGATGAAGTGACAGAAACGAGGCTCTCATACAAACCGGCGAACGTCATCGCCCAATCTCGTGAATGTCTCGTCTCGCTTGTTGGCCCACAGCGTTGCCATTGTCAATTTGTCGGAGGAATGTCATCAATTCACATTTCAACCATCTCGTCCCTCTCTCGGCTGCGCTCGCAGCAGCGCGTAGAAGGTGAAAAGAAAAGCGCTCACCTGTGCTTTGCCGCGCTGTGCTTTTGTTTCCGTGCGCTTTTCCTTTCGTTCTTCTTTCCGTAATGGGGGTCGTCCGGGCCGCGCGTTTGTCGTGTGGCGAATCCTTGCCAGGCGAGCGCCAAGCCTCGTCGTCTTATAATCGGCTTTGAAGGAGAAATGTTTTGATTCTCACAAAGAATTTCTGTCATCATTGTAGTCTATGCACAAGTGGGTAGAATGCTACAAGCATCGAAGAAAACAAAACAACATTTCTCTTTGCCCCTTGCTAAATGTTTGATGAAGCGCTGTTTACTCACTTTTGGATTTTGGAATACGTCCCATAAACCCTTAAGCCTGCAAGCTACATTTACTGAACAAATACACACTTTTCTCTAAGTGAGACACGAGAGAGACGTGCGCACACACATACGCAATTCAGGTCGTAGGGGTTTTATGTTGTCTTATCCAATCCATGCAATGAAGGTGATATGTCTCGTCTTTGTCTCCTGAGTCGAGCATTATGGCCTATTACCGTCTTATGATCCTGCTCCGCATGTGCCGAAGAGCGAAATCGTGTATCCTCAGGGTGTGGGTGGGAGATAATCTATTGTCTTTCATCGTATTTCTTTCTTTCCTCACTTGCTCTCCTGCGAAAGCTCTTTTCGAAGCACTTTCTTTGGTGATGGGTGAAATGGGCTTTCGGCCACGATGACGTTCCCGCAAATTAAGTGAACCAAACATGTATCGGTGCACAAAGAGAGTTGCGACATGCTTGTATCGTCGACACTATAGTCACCCGTATTCGTTCTCATAGACGCTCTGAGGTCTACAGCAAAAGCTTTTGGCTGTCAATCTGTCATTGTTGCGCCATAAAAACCGAAACGACGTCGGTTTTGATGCGTGAGGCTGTTCGACCGCCGCTGAATGTCGCCCTAACGCCGTGTCGCTTGTTCTCATGCTGCACTCGATGTTCACACCGCCGTGACACTTTTTCACACGAGTTAAAGAATTTGCGAGCATATTGCATGCCACGAAATCCACTCGCCGGAGGCTGAGCGTCATTCACTTTGTCTACAGCTCGGACGCGCGGCTAACACCCCCCCATCTCTTACTTTCTATGTTCCCTGAAGCCGTAGCGATTGGAGAGTAAACAAAAGCAAAATCTATAGACAAATATGCAGCGCTGTGAGTATATCATAAATGCATGAATGTTTTAAAGTGTGCATCTGAAGGCAGAAGGGATCAAATAATCCATGACCCCCTGCACGGGAATAATAACACTTGTTGGGTCAACGTGTTGACTGGCATTGAAACTGATGTGATCCCTTCGCCACTTTGTTCCTTGCAGACAGCTCACTGGCAGCTCATTAAAACCCGAGGTCGGGCAGGAGCCGGGAAACTGGGAAATTATTCTTTCTTTTGTGTGCCGCGTTGTTGCGCAGGGACCGACGCGGCCTTGGAAAAATAAAATTATAATAATAAAAAATCAAATCAAAAGTCAGGGATGGCTGTAATGCTGCTCCCGTGAGCCCCTTTCATATCGTTTCCTCTTGCGGTCGTCTTATTGATCCGCTTTCACCTGTATGCAAAATAACGATTTCACTTTGGACAAGGTGAATGCATTGTACTCAGATTTCCTCATCCCGATCAAGAAGTAATTCGCGATCCCAAACAGCATGAGTAAACCCACCGAGAAGAAGAAGAAACCAATCAATTGAACATACGCCTGATTAAATATGAATGCGATCCACATGAGAATGTCATTTGGAAACGTCACCATTTTTTTTTTCCCGAGTGTTCATCTCATGGTTCATCTGCGAGCGACTTGAATATTTTTTTCAGATTTGAAATGAACTTCCAGTGTGTAAGGTTCGTTGCATGAATTTGAATGATCACCACATTCGGCGTCATGAAAGAGGAAATCATATCAAAGTCAGCACAATTGAAGTGATTTCATGTGAGTTCGCATGGATATTTGCCGTGCACGAATGATTGATAACCTACGTCAGGATTTTTTTTTTTTTCGTTCATGTGATCGAGAGCAACTTGTCTTGCTGTCCACTGTGGTGACGGCTGTCCCGGAAAGAATTAACAACTGTACTTTATGCGACCGATCATGTGCATCTGCAAATGTATGCGGCTGTTATAGTTAACACACTTGCTAATTGCACGAATGCACCTCATTCCATACACTTGCGGAATCATAAGATGGGGCCCACAAGTTTTGCAAAAGGAGAAAGACGCAAACGAACTGGATTTAAATTAAAATAATATATCTGCTGAAACACAAACCAGAGCCTTGAGTGTGTTTTTCTTAATCAAGCCAATTACTCACGTCCCGTGTGATGAATCGATGATTAGCGGCTGCTCTCACAATAACTTTGTGCCGTGCCCCGCAGATGCCCAGCAGTGCTGCACTTTGACAAGTCATCTATAATCCATGACCAATTCGTGTTCCTGAGCGGGGTGGAGGCCGCGTACCTCTGGCAGGTCAGCAGAGGCCCTCTCGACTCAGGATTTTGTTCGTGGTGGCTGAACTGAGGATTTGGGGGAGAGAGAGAGAGAGAGAGAGAGAGAGAATGTATTGAGTTAAAGCTATTTGACGATATTAGCTATCATGGATATTTTTTTGATTAAATGCTTAATTTCAGCAGCGTATGCATTAGGATGCATTCAAAAAAAATAATCGGTGCCTTAAAATAACTTTACTTGTATAGATCCATCCATGCAAAGCGCCCTAGAGAAAACTGTACAAGTCGCCGTTGCCTTACGGTTAGACTGGTTTATTTTTTTGTCCTTATTGCTGTGACTTTTGGTGTCTTTCTAGTGACCTCCTCATGTTCTTTTCCCATCCGCGTAAGCCACGTGTGTGTTCCGAATCTTTGCTTGCGTTGTCTTTTTCATTTAATTTTGAGTGCTTTCAGATCAGAAGGTTTTGTTTTTCGTGAGCGCATCGGTCGTAGCGGCGCAAAATTCAACAAGCGCAAGTCGATGGGCCCGCGCCAGCCACGACCTGGCCCAAGAGGTGTCACGTTTGTTCCGCGCGAGCACCGGTTTTCATCAAACAGGAAGAGCCAATGAGACACAGTAATCATCGGAACGATTACACAAACAACATTTGGATTTTTGTCTCCCGGCAGCTGTTCGATCCATTTCGCCGCCGGGATTGATTTGCCGGCGCTTGTGTCTTTTCCTTTGTCTCGCAGCATTGTGATGTAAAACCGTGATGTGCAATCACACCGTCTTTGTTTCACACCCAAATCGTGCCCTTGTTGAGTTTTGGGCTTCGGTTGGCAAACGTACGCACGCATGATGGAGATGACATTTCAGACGGCTTCCTCACACAGAGCACATTAGAAAATCAGAGCGCGATACTATTGTACAAACCAGGGGTGTCAAAGTCATTTTAGCTCTGGGGGCCACATGGAGAAAAGTCTATTCCCAAATGGGCCTCAACTCTTTTCTGCCCCATCAAGTAGCGACGACTGTTTTCAAAAAGTCCCAGTGGAATTCTCCAAGGTGTTACTCCGGATCCCTCTGATTTATTCATCTGGAGAAGAGCATCCATTCCCTCACTGTATAGACGACGACCTTGCACGAGGGCTTGAGACGTACTCAGACTGACAATAAGACTGCCCCAGTTTAGCAACAGATTTGTCAACCGGAGACCTCTTGTCTATCTACGCTACACCTTATCTGAATAAACTGAGCACGCAAACACTCGGACCAATCAAAACACCGACTGGCGACTCCCTCTTGAAAGACGAAATCCGCGTAATTGAGCGGAAGAATATCCCAATGTATTCCAACCACCTATTTACCGGATGTTTTTTCTCTCTTCCACAGCGCGACGCCGCGTGTCCATTCTTCTTGGCCATCTGCCTACGTCTCCTTGTATCCCCGAGGATGTGATTAGAAGTGGCTTTTTCTCCCGGTGGGAAATCACTTGTGTTCCTTTGCTAGTATGTCCACAGTGACAGATTTGGCCCGAGACGTACCAGCTACCAAATTACTCTGCGGAGCCCACTGGGTCTCAGCAACGGAATAGGTGCGATGAACATAAAGAGGAAAGAAAGACGGATGAGGACGGAGGGCAAGCCAGAGGGCTGATGTGCGGCGCCAAGACAGAACGGGAGAGAAATGGGATGGCGATAGAAGATGGTGAAGGAAATGAAGTTTGGGAAAGAGGATGATCAATGGACAATTTTACAACTCTGCCAGTCAGTTGCACTAGGCCTGTGGTTTACGATTATCATACAGGTGATAAATTTAAGTCCAATGCCCCTACCCCGCTCCCCCGCCAAAATAAAATCTCCCCACGGCCTTTCCGAGATACATTCTGAAGTTGCAGTGACCAGAGCTGTACACATAACGCTTCCGTCACCAATGGACACACATAAAAATCGATGCAAAAGCAATGAAAAATGTACCCCTGCTATCATGGAATTGGTCAAAAATACAGTCAACCAAAATATTTCGATGGTGCTGTCGCGAATACGGCCAGTCGCCAGTCGGCCTCGCCTTGACAAAGCCTGGAGGATCGTCCGTCATCGTCATCAAGGCGACAACGGGCGTCCCTAAAAAGGGGGCCCGGGTTTCCGTCTGAAGGAGGATGCGGACCATCGCCGCCAACCAAAGTCACGTGACACGCAAGAGGAGCAAAGCGGAAGCGACCGATGTCGTCTCTGGCCTGCGCTTTGGTTTCAACAGAAAAATATACGCAGTTGCAATTTGATTCGGTGTAAAGATGGAATAGCTTTTCAATCATGGAGAATGACAGCATCTGGCTATTTGAATCTGAATCAGAAATCTGTGGCCCGGTGCCCAGTGTTGATTCATTAAAAAGGATTTTGTTGATGGACTTCAACAACAACAAACAACATGGCTGATTTCGACTGTGTTGTCTTATCATCGGACTGCTCAATTTAAGTGCCCGGTCAGATTCACGCCTCCCTTGACAAATCCCTTCATTTCCCCTCTGCCAAATAAGCGAGCAGGCCCTCCTCTGTTATTTCACGCTCTCCAATAACTGTCACGTTTACGGAGTGACAAAGAAGCCCCCTGAGGGAAAATGATGAATAACCGCCATCATACGGACGCGCGATTTCTGCTTCCTCAGCTTGTCACGCCGAAAAGTGCCGTTGACGTGGATGTCTGCTGGCGCAAACCGACGAGCGCCTTGATTCGTTCACACACTTGGCGTCCCCATTCAGATTGTCCGCGGCAATGGCTGTCAAATGTCGATTGCCAGAGTGGGACGTTGGAGAAGGGAACTGAAATACGAGGCTCCCTGCGTGCGAGATTTCCTGATGAGACCGCGATTGGCTCAACTTTCCCTTCGCCTTACACGTCGACGTTGTAGTTTCCCATTTCACGTCAATCTGTACGATTCATCCATAGGGTGCCTTGCTGCCCCCAAGCCCCCGCTTCGAGATGATTAATGTAGACAAAAAACGGCATCATAAAATCATTGTACTCGCATCTTCTCACTAATTTGCTGTTCGGCCCTCAATAACGAGATTGTTTAATGTGAAAATTTGGGAGATTCGCAACGGTCTTTTACCCCTCCTGGGTTATTTTCTCCCACACAACAATGGACAGTGTCCACATGAGAAAGCGCGATTGTTCAACGTTGCAGCAGCGAGCGAGGGTGATAAATCGCTTTTGCACCCATTCGTATTTGCACATGTTGTCATTTTGCTTTGGTAAATCTTCCCGACTTCCAAGCTTTTCTTCTTTAGATTGCTTCGTGACTCGGCATTATTTGCACACTTGCGTTTTATCAGCATGACCAGACTGCTCCACACTTAATACCGCCAACTAGGAACTTATTTATTTTTATGAACTGTGAATTGAACAGATTCATTAAAAATAAATAAATTGTGAAGTGAACTTTCCCAACACTGAGTGGACTACGCCACCGTTTGGAACAAAATGATTTCAAGACATTTAAAGGCAAAGGAAAGAAATGGAAAGTGTCTTTCTGAAATGACTAAAAGCCCGTCGAGTGAAATTGAAAAAGTGTGTTTTGACTCAAAGCATTCACGGGTTTTAACCACCGTGCGCGCAAACCGACACTTCAAGAAGGATGTCATTTGTAAAATGCGCATTTCTGCAATACTGCGTTCATCTATACATCCATGTGTTCACGCTTATCTTCCGTGACAAGAAAAAGACACACCTGGGGGCCCCACCGAACAGCATTCAAAGACGACGCCATCATTGGAAGTTTTCCCAAAATAGTGAGTTTTTTTTTTTTTCTTCTTCAAACCAGCAACGTGCGGCGAATTTGGGATTTGAGTAAACATTGCGCCTTCCCGGGGGGAATGTTTCGGAGAAGCTGAATAATTTGACATAATGATTCTGTCATTTTCTTTTGTTTTGGACCGACGATACACGACTGCATTGTGCCATTGGAGGAATTGAGTCCTGCTCGTGGACGATTGCAAGCAGCTTTTTTTTTTCTTCTTTTTTTCTCGCATCGTTTTGAGTGACAAATGATACTTTGTGCAAAATTGCGCTCTCACAATGGGACAATTTGAACATAGCGTGCTTTGGCGCACTTAGCCGTCCTCCTTCTCTCCCCCCCCACTTGTCTCAACTCAGACTGACTGTACTGCACTCAAATGTGCCTCCGAACATTGATGTGCCCCATTACCGCAACTTTCCAGACTTAAATTAGTCAAAAGATGTTTTGCAAGTGTCCTGATTCCACTGTGCGCGGTGGCAACTGTCATTTGCGACTGGCGTGCGAACCGGCAGCTTCGGTCATACAGCACGTGCAGTTTGAGCAAGCAAATACCGCTTAAGCCCACTCGTTCCCAGAAAAACTCAGGTGCTCAGCATGTCCAAATGTCTCGTGGTACCTCTACTTACAACCGTCTCTTCAGACAAAATTTTCAAGTTACGAAACGCCTCAACAGGAAAATATTGCGTCTTGTTACGAAAGAAATTTCAAGATACGAAGGGTAAAAATACAGTATAGGCTGCTCGTCGCAGCTGCGACTTTCCTGAACGCACCATAGTTATAGCTGCTCTGCCATTGGCTATTACCGAGGATCTTCCTGGCATCCCGTTGGCTAAGAGGGACCTCGACCGTACCTGTCTAAGTGTGTATATAGATAGAAATGTGTCCACGCAGCGTCGTCGTCATTCACCCCTCGGGCCATGAGGCGTTCCGATAGTTTTACGTAAATCTGAATCACCCAGAAAAAGTGTTCACCAGTCGGGTGTTTTTTTTACATCATACACAACTCTCATTTATTGTGCAATAATCTAATTCTAACATCGATGTCACATTTTGATGCATTTTTATGCTTTAGAAAACATTTATGTATGAATTTTGGGGGGCTTGGAACGGATTAGGGAAGTTACATTGAAACAGCGTCTCTCCTTACAAAATGTTTCTAGTTAAAAAATTTCTTCCAGAACCAATTAATTTCTTAAGTAGAGGTACCACTGTATCCTTTGCACTGTCAGAATGCGCCAAAAGCACTGTGATTTAAAAAAAAAAAAAAAAAAAAAGCTTTCCAA